ACCAGTCAGCGTGTTGCTGGAGACCAGCCAGCGTGTTGCTGGAGACCAGCCAGCGTGTTGCTGGAGACCAGCCAGCGTGTTGCTGGAGACCAGCCAGCGTGTTGCTGGAGACCAGCCAGCGTGTTGCTGGAGACCAGCCAGCGTGTTGCTGGAGACCAGCCAGTGTTGCTGGAGACCAGCCAGCGTGTTGCTGGAGACCAGCCAGCGTGTTGCTGGAGACCAGCCAGCGTGTTGCTGGAGACCAGCCAGCGTGTTGCTGGAGACCAGCCAGCGTGTTGCTGGAGACCAGCCAGCATGTTGCTGGAGACCAGCCAGCGTGTTGCTGGAGACCAGCCAGCGTGTTGCTGGAGACCAGCCAGCGTGTTGCTGGAGACCAGCCAGCGTGTGTTGCTGGAGACCAGCCAGCGTGTTGCTGGAGACCAGCCAGTGTGTTGCTGGAGACCAGCCAGCGTGTTGCTGGAGACCAGCCAGCGTGTTGCTGGAGACCAGCCAGCGTGTTGCTGGAGACCAGCCAGTGTGTTGCTGGAGACCAGTCAGCGTGTTGCTGGAGACCAGCCAGCGTGTTGCTGGAGACCAGCCAGCGTGTTGCTGGAGACCAGCCAGCGTGTTGCTGGAGACCAGCCAGTGTGTTGCTGGAGACCAGCCAGCAGTGTTTGCTGGAGACCAGCCAGCGTGTTGCTGGAGACCAGCCAGCGTGTTGCTGGAGACCAGCCAGCGTGTTGCTGGAGACCAGCCAGCGTGTTGCTGGAGACCAGCCAGCGTGTTGCTGGAGACCAGCCAGTGTGTTGCTGGAGACCAGCCAGTGTGTTGCTGGAGACCAGCCAGTGTGTTGCTGGAGACCAGCCAGCTGGAGACCAGCCAGTGTTGCTGGAGACCAGCCAGCATGTTGCTGGAGACCAGCCAGTGTGTTGCTGGAGACCAGCCAGCGTGTTGCTGGAGACCAGCCAGCATGTTGCTGGAGACCAGCCAGCGTGTTGCTGGAGACCAGCCAGCGTGTTGCTGGAGACCAGCCAGCGTGTTGCTGGAGACCAGCCAGCGTGTTGTTGCTGGAGACCAGCCAGTGTGTTGCTGGAGACCAGCCAGCGTGTTGCTGGAGACCAGCCAGCGTGTTGCTGGAGACCAGCCAGTGTGTTGCTGGAGACCAGCCAGTGTGTTGCTGGAGACCAGCCAGTGTGTTGCTGGAGACCAGCCAGCGTGTTGCTGGAGACCAGCCAGCGTGTTGCTGGAGACCAGCCAGCGTGTTGCTGGAGACCAGCCAGTGTGTTGCTGGAGACCAGCCAGCGTGTTGCTGGAGACCAGCCAGCGTGTTGCTGGAGACCAGCCAGCGTGTTGCTGGAGACCAGCCAGTGTTGCTGGAGACCAGCCAGCGTGTTGCTGGAGACCAGCCAGCGTGTTGCTGGAGACCAGCCAGCGTGTTGCTGGAGACCAGCCAGTGTTGCTGGAGACCAGCCAGCGTGTTGCTGGAGACCAGCCAGTGTGTTGCTGGAGACCAGCCAGTGTTGCTGGAGACCAGCCAGCGTGTTGCTGGAGACCAGCCAGCGTGTTGCTGGAGACCAGCCAGCGTGTTGCTGGAGACCAGTCAGTGTGTTGCTGGAGACCAGCCAGCGTGTTGCTGGAGACCAGTCAGTGTGTTGCTGGAGACCAGCCAGCGTGTTGCTGGAGACCAGCCAGCGTGTTGCTGGAGACCAGCCAGCGTGTTGCTGGAGACCAGCCAGTGTGTTGCTGGAGACCAGCCAGCGTGTTGCTGGAGACCAGTCAGAGTGTTGCTGGAGACCAGCCAGTGTGTTGCTGGAGACCAGCCAGCGTGTTGCTGGAGACCAGTCAGCGTGTTGCTGGAGACCAGCCAGCATGTTGCTGGAGACCAGCCAGTGTGTTGCTGGAGACCAGCCAGCGTGTTGCTGGAGACCAGCCAGTGTTGCTGGAGACCAGCCAGTGTTGCTGGAGACCAGCCAGCGTGTTGCTGGAGACCAGCCAGCGTGTTGCTGGAGACCAGCCAGCGTGTTGCTGGAGACCAGCCAGCGTGTTGCTGGAGACCAGCCAGCGTGTTGCTGGAGACCAGCCAGCGTGTTGCTGGAGACCAGCCAGCGTGTTGCTGGAGACCAGCCAGCGTGTTGCTGGAGACCAGCCAGCGTGTTGCTGGAGACCAGCCAGTGTTGCTGTGTTGCTGGAGACCAGCCAGTGTGTTGCTGGAGACCAGCCAGCGTGTTGCTGGAGACCAGCCAGCGTGTTGCTGGAGACCAGCCAGTGTGTTGCTGGAGACCAGCCAGCATGTTGCTGGAGACCAGCCAGCAGTTGCTGGAGACCAGTCAGCGTGTTGCTGGAGACCAGCCAGCATGTTGCTGGAGACCAGTCAGCGTGTTGCTGGAGACCAGTCAGCGTGTTGCTGGAGACCAGTCAGCGTGTTGCTGGAGACCAGCCAGCTGTGTTGCTGGAGACCAGCCAGTGTTGCTGGAGACCAGCCAGTGTGTTGCTGGAGACCAGCCAGCGTGTTGCTGGAGATCTGCCAGCGTGTTGATGGAGATCAGCCAGCGTGTTGCTGGAGACCCGCCAGCGTGTTGCTGGAGACCAGCCAGCGTGTTGCTGGAGACCAGCCAGCGTGTTGCTGGAGACCAGCCAGTGTGTTGCTGGAGACCCGCCAGCGTGTTGCTGGAGACCAGCCAGCGTGTTGCTGGAGACCAGCCAGTGTTGCTGGAGACCAGCCAGTGTGTTGCTGGAGACCAGCCAGCGTGTTGCTGGAGACCAGCCAGCGTGTTGCTGGAGACCAGCCAGCGTGTTGCTGGAGACCAGCCAGCGTGTTGCTGGAGACCAGCCAGCGTGTTGCTGGAGACCAGCCAGCGTGTTGCTGGAGACCAGCCAGCGTGTTGCTGGAGACCAGCCAGCGTGTTGCTGGAGACCAGCCAGCGTGTTGCTGGAGACCAGCCAGCGTGTTGCTGGAGACCAGCCAGCGTGTTGCTGGAGACCAGCCAGCGTTTTGCTGGAGACCAGTCAGCTGGAGACCAGTGTTGCTGGAGACCAGTCTGGAGACCAGTGTGTGCTGGAGACCAGCCAGCGTGTTGCTGGAGACCAGCCAGCGTGTTGCTGGAGACCAGCCAGCGTGTTGCTGGAGACCAGCCAGCGTGTTGCTGGAGACCAGTCAGCGTGTTGCTGGAGACCAGCCAGCGTGTTGCTGGAGACCAGCCAGTGTGTTGCTGGAGACCAGCCAGCGTGTTGCTGGAGACCAGCCAGCGTGTTGCTGGAGACCAGCCAGCGTGTTGCTGGAGACCAGCCAGCGTGTTGCTGGAGACCAGCCAGTGTGTTGCTGGAGACCAGCCAGTGTGTTGCTGGAGACCAGCCAGCATGTTGCTGGAGACCAGCCAGCGTGTTGCTGGAGACCAGCCATCATGTTGCTGGAGACCAGCCAGCGTGTTGCTGGAGACCAGCCAGCGTGTTGCTGGAGACCAGCCAGCATGTTGCTGGAGACCAGCCAGCGTGTTGCTGGAGACCAGTCAGCGTGTTGCTGGAGACCAGCCAGTGTGTTGCTGGAGACCAGCCAGTGTGTTGCTGGAGACCAGCCAGTGTTGCTGGAGACCAGCCAGCGTGTTGCTGGAGACCAGCCAGCGTGTTGCTGGAGACCAGCGTGTTGCTGGAGACCAGCCAGCAGTGTTGCTGGAGACCAGCCAGCGTGTTGCTGGAGACCAGCCAGTGTGTTGCTGGAGACCAGCCAGTGTGTTGCTGGAGACCAGCCAGTGTGTTGCTGGAGACCAGCCAGCATGTTGCTGGAGACCAGCCAGCGTGTTGCTGGAGACCAGCCAGTGTGTTGCTGGAGACCAGCCAGTGTGTTGCTGGAGACCAGCCAGTGTTAGCTGGAGGAGACCAGCCAGTGTTGCTGGAGACCAGCCAGTGTTGCTGGAGACCAGCCAGCGTGTTGCTGGAGACCAGCCAGCGTGTTGCTGGAGACCAGCCAGTGTGTTGCTGGAGACCAGCCAGCATGTTGCTGGAGACCAGCCAGCGTGTTGCTGGAGACCAGCCAGTGTGTTGCTGGAGACCAGCCAGTGTGTTGCTGGAGACCAGCCAGCGTGTTGCTGGAGACCAGCCAGCGTGTTGCTGGAGACCAGCCAGCGTGTTGCTGGAGACCAGCCAGTGTGTTGCTGGAGACCAGCCAGTGTGTTGCTGGAGACCAGCCAGTGTGTTGCTGGAGACCAGCCAGTGTGTTGCTGGAGACCAGCCAGTGTGTTGCTGGAGACCAGCCAGCGTGTTGCTGGAGACCAGCCAGCGTGTTGCTGGAGACCAGCCAGGGTGTTGCTGGAGACCAGCCAGCGTGTTGCTGGAGACCAGCCAGGGTGTTGCTGGAGACCAGCCAGCGTGTTGCTGGAGACCAGCCAGGGTGTTGCTGGAGACCAGCCAGGGTGTTGCTGGAGACCAGCCAGCGTGTTGCTGGAGACCAGCCAGCGTGTTGCTGGAGACCAGCCAGGGTGTTGCTGGAGACCAGCCCAGCGTGTTGCTGGAGACCGGCCAGCGAGTTGCTGGGGACACAGTGATGATACTGTGGAGGACTGTTCCCTGATTTGCTGAGAAAGATGGGCTCACCAGCGTGGGTACCGTTGAGGAAAGGCTCAGGGAATTAACCCTTAGTGTTGTGCGATAGAAGATACAGAAGGACTCGCCAAGATAGAAGATTGCAGAAGTTCTTTTGTAATGTCCAGAGTGACAGTGACACCTGCTGTGTTATCTGTGCTATACATGTGTAATAAGTGTATATAGTTAAGTAGTTCGTGTGCTAATGGTTTCGTTTAGTGTTAATTACGCACATTCCCGTTGGGTTGATTATTACTGCTCAGTTCTTAATGACTTACCATTGCCTCAGGGTTGGATCTGGGGAATAAGAGGCACTAAAGCCCCATAGAATGTTTGTGTAAAGATACCGGTTACTGGCTAAGTGAGGCCGTAACATTTTGCTTGAGGAATAACATCAGTTCGGGATCTGGTCATTTCATACTAACGAACCAGATGCTTTATTTCAGGAACTACCTGGACTCAGGAGGTGGTGTGGTGTCTAGTGAAGGATACGAAGTCTCCTGAGGCGTCACTCGAGATGATGAAGAGGTTCCCTTTCCTTGAGTAGGCACTGTTCATTTTTTTAGTATTTTGAATTTACTTTAGACTTCCAAATAACATTACAAATGGTCACTAAAACATCAGATTAAGGTAGTAAGACTTTTCCTTCTGTTATGGACCTTTATCAAGTTGTATGTGATGGAACACAGGGAGAAGGAAGGTAATAAAGTGAGGTTCAGTAATATTAGTGGTCGGTGAAGAGACAAAAGTGTTGACAGATGACAGACAATCTAGTAGATTGTCAAGAATTTTTTGGCAAATTTTCAGAGGAAAAGGAAATGTCAACTTCTTTTGGTCGCAGTATCTACCTGAGGTTGGCGATAGCAGGTTACATTTGTGAATGAGGAAAGCCGCACAGTCATGATAATTAGAGAACATGATATCGTAATTGTGGTAAATAAATCGTGACCAGTAAACCCGTATTGCTCAGTGAGGAAGGACTCGCCTAGCTGTGCTTGCGGGGGTTGAGCTTCGACTCTTTGGTCTCGCCTCTCAAGGATCAATCTACTGGTCCACAGAAGATTGGCAGTTGAGCTTCTCCTGATCTTCTCGAGCTCTGTCATATATATACATTTGAAATTGTGTATGGAGTCAGACTCTACCACATTACTTCCTAATGCATTCCATTTATTAATTACTCTGACACTGAAAAAAATTCTTTCTAATATCTCTGTGACTCATTTGCGTATTCGGCTTCCACCTGTGTCCCCTTGTGCGAGTATCACCCAAGTTGATTCATTGATGAATACTAAGCCACCCAAGAGGTGGCACGGGCATGAATTGCCCGTAAGTGGTAGATTTTTTTAGTAAATGATGTGTGTTCGACCTGTGTACTGAGGTTGCATTTAATCATCAAGCTGCTTTCGTGGGGGAGGATACTGCTTGACAGTATTTATGAGGGTGTCCAGCTGCTGGACACCTTTTTTTGACCAGAAGAGTGGCAGTGTTGATGGCTTCAGGGTGGTTACTGGAAGATTCGGGGTTCTTTTAAAACTCTAATAAGGTCGTTGGTTGCTTCACATTCCACGAGATTGTGAAGTAGTGACTTTTCTGTAATGGTTTTGGCAGAAGATGCATTCCCTCTTTCGGTGTTCACCAGTCTACCAGTTGCATATGCAACCTAGATGTAGTCTATATAACCGAACTGCTATTTCCCTGTGGATTACTTTTGGGATAGTTAACCTTTCTAACTTAGTGGCCTGAAGATACCGTATTGCAGAGGGCGAACCTTCTGTTATTCACTGGTGATTTCAACCGTGTTAGATAATCCATCCTTAGCAACCATGTCAATTTCCTTGAGACTTTTGTATGCGGTGATCATGTCTCCTCGACGTCTTTTGTCTTCCAGCGACGTGAGGTGCAGTTCACTCAGCCTCTTAGTTCTGGGACTAGGCTAGTGGCAAACATCAGAACTTTCCCCAGCTTCGTCTGCTTAGCAAGGTATGAGCTCCAAGCAGAAAATACATACTCCAGGATTGGTCTTTTATATGTGTGTCAACCTGTCCTCTTACAAATTACGTCTAAATTTTGGCCGTTGCCCGTGTTGCCGGAAATATACGTAACTTGAAATGAAACAAAATTAAAAATATATTTTTGATATTTGTTTTCCAAAACAGTCAGTTAAGGGTCCTCTGGTAGGTTAGAACAATAGGAAATTCTCCTAAGGTTTCATTACGTCATGGTAAACGTTAATTGAAAGTTTCCTCTTTTAATCCTGCCAAGTAAGCCAGAGGATTCAAACAGACAACTAAACAGTACATCACTTTCGTGAGCTGATTTCATTTCAAATTACGTTTATTTTGGACCATAGAACGCATACGTGCAAAAAGTGACGATATTTTTAAAAGGACGGGTAGGGTATACAAGGTTCTGAAAGATTCCTTACAAATTCCTAACACAGATTCTTTCTGTTGCTTAGGTGCTCCCTTATCCAATGGAGGACCTTCCCTTTCCCTCCTGCCTGCATATCCAGCTTGTGCACTAGTCTCCTATGTGGTACTGGGGCTTTCTGGCAATCCAAAAATATGCAGTCTGCCCGCCATTCTCTTTCTTGTCTGATTCTTGTTGCCAGGTCAAAGAATTCAAATAATCCTGTGAGGCAAGATAGGCTATCCCTGAACCCATGCTGATGCGGAGTTACAAAGTTCATTCGCTCCAGATGTTTACTTTTTTCGCACTGTGTTCTCCATCACCTTGCATGGTATGCAAGTTAGGGACACAGGCCTTTCGTTAGTGTCCCTAACGAATAATGACCTCCTGTTTGTCACCCTTCTTATACATCGGGACTACAATAGTCGTCTTCCAGGTTTTAGGCATTTCCCATTTTACCAGATATTTCTATAAACCATGTAGAGTGAAGTCATCAACATAGGATTTATTTAACTTCCAATGAAAAATCCATGACTTAAGCAAGTCAGTCAAGAACCTTAGAGTACTAAAACAATACAATACAATACACAACAAAAACGTTTGTGAAATTATACCATGTTGATAAAGGAGCCTGGATATATTTCAAGAACGTTACTTAATTTTTTTCGGAAAATTCATAAGCAGGAAGCAGTCGGGATTTAGTATGTGAGCTATTGAGCTCATATAAAAATTTGGGATAAAATGTCTCAAAAAATAAAAACAATTACTTCTTCAATTATCATTTGAACTTATTCCTTGAAAAACCGAATACTGTCGGGGCCGAAATCGAGCGATTTCCTCAGAACATTCCGAACATGTACAAACGGTACCAGGGCAAGTGGAGCTCTAATATCCTGGCTCATTACTACTCCATACTCAAAATGGATGTATCTGAAGCAAAATATACCAATAAATCATAAAATCAGTCGTTTAAAAAATATTAATTTGTAATATAAGTGTATATCAAATGTGTGTATATATAAATATGATTTATTAAAATTAGCCTGTATATTACCAAAAACTTTGCAAGGTACAGATATCTAATAATATATTTGAATTTATCATTAATATCATTTATCAAAATATATAAAGAAAACATATTACTGTGTATGTGACAAAAATAAGTTATTTTGTAAATCAGTAATCCAACAGTATTACGGATTAGATTTGTAAATATGTTTTTCAGACTTGACACTATTCGTCCTCCTACCGACGAGAACTTTCCGTTTGAGAAAACGTGTGATGTTACTCAGCTCACTTCCACTTGGGACATCATTGAGAAGCTAAAGGCTCCCAGGACCATTAAGTCTCACCTCCCAAAGGAACTCCTTCCCAAACAACTCTGGAACGTGAAACCAAAGGTATTCCTACACTTTCTGTGTGCACGTCTGTTTTTTTCTCATATTTTTGTATAAATACTTTGGTGCACTCTAGCGTTGTTACACGACGACAATGTATTCATTATCAGCAACAGAAATAATAAATAAAAAATATAAATAACTTGCAGAAGGTTTAAAATAAAGAGCACACACACACCAGTATTACAATTTCCGTAATACGGCAAATAGGTTGACAAGATAGCAGGCTGGTAGACTGGCAAAATGGTAGGCTGTATGCTTGTAGAATGGCAGATAGGTGGACAAGATGGCTGGCAGGATGGCTGATTAGCAGGACGGCATCCAGACTGGGAGATAGGAGACAGAAAGGCTGTGAGGAAGGATGGCTGGACGGAAGACAGACGAGCAGATAGGATGGCAGGTAGGCCGACAAGATGGCTGGCTGACTGGCTGGCAGGCAGGCCGGTAGGATATAAAACTGGCAGGCAATCTAAAAGACTGGCCTGCAGAATGGCAGGCAGGCCGGCAGGAAGGTTGGCAGACTGACAGAATGGTAGGCAGGCCAGCATGATGGCAAGCAGGATGGCAGATAGGTTGACAAGATGGCAGGCAGGCTGCCAGACAGGATAGCGGAAGAGCAAGTTGGCAGGCTATCTGGCAGGCAGGGTGACAGTCAGATGGCAAACTGGTAATCTAGCTGGCAGGCATGCTGGAACACAGACTGGCAGGGTACCTGACAGGCTGGCATGCACGCAGGCAGCCAAGTTGGGAAAGCTGAGAGGTGGGCAGAGGGGAGGCAGCCTTGTGGTTAAGAAGGTCGGTAACCACAAGGGGGTGGCCTGGTTGTGCCCGAGCCTTGATTATACCGCATTGGAAATGTTAAACAACGCAGCCTGGGCATTATAAACAGTATGTCTCAGGAGTACTTTAGAACCCTGAGGACGGGTTGAAGCATGATACCCTCCCTATAAGTCTCGGCGGCATTGGTGTCTGTACAGCCTCCAAGATTACTCTGCCAGCCTTCCTTCCCCCTCCTCCTATGCATCGTATAACCTCGTAATTCTACCAGATTTCCTGGGATATCCTACCAGAACCCTAAAGTGATTCAGCAGGGATACGCGATCCTGCTTTCACTGAATGTTCAAATCAGTGTGATGCACTTGCAGCCCCAGCACCCATCATAGATCCAACAAAAACACAAACAGCCCAGCTGGGACCACCCACTAGTGGAGAAAATACCTGATGCCATGTTCAGTGCTGCAACATTAGATAAGGAGAAAGCCCACCTCAGAGCAGTGCCTGCCCGCCGTTCAGGAGACTTCCTTCTGGAAGTACCCATGTCAGTAACTGGCACGCACCTACATCCAGCATACCTTCGTGTATCAGTGGCCCTCCGCCTTGGTGCCCCAATTCACACTGAGCACAAGTGTATTTGCAGCAGGGTGGAAGCAGACCAATATGGACTCCATGGGATGCTGAGGCTTCCACTGAGATCCAGAGTGCATGGGGGGGGGGGATTGTGTGAAAATCCTGCTTCGGTTTCAATGGAAGCATCAGGAAACACTTGTGAGCTCAGTAGAACTCCAGGTTGCAATCATTTTGAACATGTCGTGGTTTAGTCGTTAGCGCATGTGTGTGGGAACTGCCACCACATAGGTTCGAACCTTCATCACAACCCCCACGGATTTTCTCTCTTATCTCTGATAAGTATCACACTGGGAGGGACCCACCAGTGCCCGGGACAGTCTCCACCCACACAACCCATTCCCCTCTCTTCTCTTGCCACATGTCCCATATTCCCTCTGACCTACACAGTATGCCAATGTGTAGTGACTCGGGCATGAGCTATGTGAACTGTGTTCCGGTCAACACTGTGGAGAAATGCCCGACAGGCCACTGGAACATTATCTAACACAGTGCACAGTTACAAACCCATTCATATTTCAACTTAGATTCAACAGAGCAGAAGAGGTTGTTAAACATATATCGCAAAATCTTACTTAAGCGACCATACGAGTCATAAATACTTATACTCCGCCCAAGTAAAACAGAAACAAGCAACACTTAGTGGGCCAGCCAGAAGCTTAGGGCCCGCGCAGGAATATCCCTGCAAAACAAAAAAAAAATGTGTTCCTGTATTCACTTTTCACATGATGAAGGCAAATATGTGAATGGAACTTATTCAGTTAAATGATATTTTCATTTTCAGGAAGAATATAGAAAAAATATATATATTGCATGAAATTCTAGCAAAAAATGGCATAGTAAACAATATTTATTATACCAGTTTTAATTTAATGAGAAGATGCGCTAATTTGTCCTTAAGTAGTTGATGACAATTTGAGGAAGTCAACGCTGCACAATGCTTATGCATTTCAATTCAGTTTCTTTCTTTATTATGTACCCCATACCTATCCCGTGGTCGGTGGTTAAAACAAAGATTTCTCGCACATAGCATAGAAAGACTCTTACAGAATGGTAAGAATGTGAGTTAGTGTAACAAAAAAACTATCACTCTGCAAAACTACAATGCTGTACAAAAGACTAAGACAGTCTGCAAAAACTAGATCAGTCTGCAAAAACTAAATGGCACTATTGTTAATTCTACCAAAACGATAGGACGGGTAGAAGTTTGGTTGGATAACACCATTAAGCTAGCAGATTTCGGGGGAAAATAACACATAAGCAATAAGCTGAGATTGGACAAGTAAGGAAATAACTGATATTGATATAATAATAACAATATTATTTGTTAGTCATGAAACATATACCCTAATATATGCAAACTCTCCTATTGCATGGGAGAGTTTGACAGTGTTGAAAGCATAAATTGTTGATCTAGATATATTTATAATGGAAAAACCAGCTTTACCCTAAAAATAAATACATCGAGCAGGAAGTAGCAGTGCTAAGAGGGGTGAATTTCTATGAGAGCATAGGTTTAGATCTCTTATTGTGAGAGGAAATAATATAAAATAAAATAAATAAAACTCAGCTTGAGAGAAAGAGAGAGAGAGAGAGAGAGAGAGAGAGTATAGTGGAATTTGAAGTGGAAGTGGAACAAGTAGGAAAACCATGCAGCAAAATAATTCCAGAGTTAACGTAATAATAACACAACAATCTAAGTTTTACATCAGTTACAAGTAGGGGTTACATCCTAGTACATGATCATGATCAAGTATGTAGGGTGGAAGTGTTCTACATGTGGAGTACCATATAATACAATGGAGAAATAATGAGAGAACTGGGAAATATCCAGACGAAAAAAATGAGGAAGCACTTAACTACTGTATAGTATAAGCTATTCAGCAGTTGTGTTTATGTGAAACTACCTAATAATACGTCTTGGTAAAGTAAATGGAGTAATATAGTTGTTCTACAACTTGTGATATTCTCTGATAATATGGAGAAATGATGAGTGAACCGGTAAATAACCGAACAGAATAATGAGAAAGCACTTGACCACTGTAGAGCAACGTGTCAAACACTGGGATAAGTAAACTCACTAGGAGAAAGATTTGAATTGTGGGTAGTTTTCTTATATAATTGAGTAGAATGGGGAGGGGTATTTATGTGGAAAATAAATAAGTATGGAATGATACCCCTGATGCTGCTGCAAAACCTTGCTTTAAAAATGAAATTTAACTTGTAATGGTAAAAGTAATACCTTTATGGGGGGAGAGAAAAATAGAGAGATAGTGGAAATAAGAATGGATGAACCTATCAAGATGTTAAAAGATTGTGAACGTTTAGTTGGAACTTGGATGTTAGATGTGATGTGATGAGAAAAGTGAGCTTTGGTAATTATATTCAGAGATGGACAGAGTGACGTTAAGAAATCTAAAAGATAACTATAATGTGATGGATTGGGATCAAGGGGATGAGATTAGGGTGCATATGAGTGTTAAAAGCGTAAATTGTGTTTGAAACTGTGATTGACATAGAGTGTTATGTGACTACCTCACAGATGACTAGGGGAGGAGCGTTGAACTAACTAATTAGTGCATGTATATTGGTGGAAGGAGTAAGTGCACCTGTGGAGTATTGTTTTCCTCTTAACAAGAGGAACATTGAACAGTGTATTTTTACTGGGAAGCGCAACTTACGCGCACAAGGGTGGATAACATGAGCAAGTATAATCTGAGATCATATTAAAAAATTGTACTTGAATGTTAAATTGTTGCGTATAGTGAGGGAAAAGGATTACCTTGACTAGTATGTGGAAGAGTAAAAGGATTCGATGGTCTTGATTACCTAGTTTGATTCTTGACTGGACCTGATGAGTGGAAAGGCTAAAAGTAAATACAGGAATGAAGCAGAGTACTGACATGATGAGTGTATAATGTTTTAAACTGTACTGTGATATTGAAGAAATACTTGATGGGTTACTAAACTTGATAAGATACTATGGAAAAGCAAATATGACTGGAGAAAAGACTCTAGATAGAATTTGATCCGAATGGATCTATACAAAAATATGTGATTTTTCTATTCGCTAAATAGTGAATTAACATGAGTCTCTCATGATGTTACGGAGTTGTAAGACCTAACGCGCAGTGATGAGGCGGGTGGGGTATCAGGCTTTTTTGTACGCATATGTTATATCAGTGGATAGTATCTTGTTTACCCTAATACTCCTAACACGTGATGTAATACACTCTAATAGTCTGTCATATATTTTTTATTAACTTAAGCTACACATTGTGATAAACTGATAGCGTGTGATAAGAATGAAAGTCTCCTGTCTCTGTCCACTTCAGTGATTTGAGAATAAAGGCCAATTTACTTTAACTCTGATTAACCCTCCTAGGGCTTGGAGGCAGTATCTCTCACATACACTCACTCACCGTGTCAGTTGACAATCGGATGAGGTGATTATGGGAAGCGTGTGTGTGGTCACCTATTTGTGCTTGCAGGGTCGAGCATTGACTCTTGGATCCCGCCTTTCTAGCCATCGATTGTGTAGAGCAATGACTCCTGTCCCATTTCCCTATCATAACTAGTTTTAACATTTGAAATAGAGT